AAGAGATGACCTAGTTTTGCTTTTCGACAATTACTATATAATAACAAATTATATAGTAACGATAATAGTATTATTTGAAAGCGCGTTTAGAGTACTCTCTCTGAGCTAGTCTGATACCTCTTTAATAGTATCATAGGGCACGTTAACAGTAGTTTTGTTAACCTCAAAAAAGCAATGTCGAAAATATGCTTTTGCGTACTTCTCAACACTACACTGTTAAACAGCAAGATAAAAAAAGCCCTTAAACCACTTATCAAAGCTATCTGCTAGCTCTTGATGCCTCTTTATTCATGCTTTTAGTGGGGAGAACGACAATTTGATAGGATTGAAATCAGGAGAATATAAAGGAAGGAATATTAATAGAACGCCTCTCTCTGCGCATATATTCTGAAGCTCCTAAATGCTATTATTAGTATCAACGCCAAATAAAGCTATTTTGAGCCCTATCTGGCTGTGATAGGCGTTATAATTATTTATAATTAGTACTAAACGTGGCTTAGGATACAGATTTATTTTTAGTAGTAATCTCTTTAAATAAAGTTGTTGAATCTCTTAGTATTGAAGCTACTGTAATATATCTTATAATCGAGATAGTTATTAATACCTATTACAGGGCAAATACTCCATTTCCTTAAGTGCCTATATAGTATAGTAACTCTACATAGTACATCACGTTTTGACTAGCCTCTTCAATAGTCTTTTGTACGCTTATTTGCAGCCGTTTCGTTGACGAAAATCTTCAATAGTCTTTTGTACGCTTATTTGCAGCCGTTTCGTTGACGAAAATAGCCTGTTCAGCATGTATTTCGGCTATTCAAGCTCAATAGAAGACCTGTAAATCTTCGTCTCATTCAGTAGCGCGTTTTTCGACCTACAAAGTAAGTAATTGCAACACTTTTGGAACGGGCAGTACTACACTTTGTTCTACTACACTTTGTTCTACTACATCTTGTTCCACTACATCTTGTTTCACTACACCTTGTTTCACTACACCTTGTTCCACTACACCTTGCTCTTCTATATTTTTCCTACTACATCTTGTTCTACTACAGGCCTTCACGACCATAGAGCATGCCCACTTGCGTAAAGTATGTGTAATTTATTGTTGGCTGTAGATACAAAACGTAGTTATGCGACAAGCTGTTGTGCTGCTGGTTGTCATGCTACATGCTGTTGTAAGACGAGTTGTAGTAATACAGATCGTTGTGCGACAAGCTGTTATGCGACGAGCCCCTATTACGTGCGGTTCGAGATTCCCTTGTGACTATAGGCTAGTTTTGTCGTTAGTACGGAGTAGGAACTGATCATTTCTATTCCTAGACATAAGGGACCGAAACTGGTCTCTGCCTTAAGTTCGTATAGGAAGCAGCGAGAGAGATGGCGCCTGATCCCAGTAGAGGAGTCGAGAGTGCGAAAAGGCATGCGCCTTCTACCCATGATACACCAGAACCTACGCCGAGGAACTTCGAGCTTCAATTCACGTTGGTGTGCTCAAATAAATATACAAAGTGTCGAGAATACGCGACTCTCTCATTTCTGCTGTGCCTTGTTCTATTAATTTGATCGGGCTGGTTGTACATCTGGTCTGTCCCGACACATCGGAGGTGGCCGGGGGCATCTTCCGGAGAAAAATGATCTCCGGCTTTAGCCGAGTCATTCGATCCGCGCCGTGCTACCGGGATCCAAGCCTCCGCCCGGCGGTTCTGCTGCCTAAATCCCGCTCATGCCGTGCGCAATTACGCCGTACATTCACGAAAGCTTCTGCAGCGACAGCACCCGAAAGAACAAAACTATCATGGCAGCATTCATAAGTCCTCTGTCCGGTCAGAAATCGGTCTTCTTTCCCTCCTAACCCTATTCACCCATTCCTCCGTCGTCTGACACGGAAGCCACCAATTGCCAGTCTTGGCTAGCGCCTCGCTTATCTTCGCAATCGGAAATTTATTCTTCCCGCTATCACACTGACGTGTCTTATCGTGGGGTTTTCTGCCTCGGCCCCAGATTTTGGACGACGGACATGGTGAGACTCTTGCTATACCATACAGGCCACAAAGATTTACATCCAAAAAAACCTGGCTTACACGTACCATGGGATGTCCAAACCACAGTCACATACCGCCAGTTTTAAGCCTGGCTGAGCTCAACAATAAATATCCGCCCGAAGGAACACACTTCCCCATTATCATCGGTTTTGACGTCTCCCGGCATGCACTATGGATAAACCAATTGAGACGACGGAGGAATTGCAAAAGCTATCGCGGGAAGCTGACCAGCAGCACCGCGTATGGAAGCCTATACACGAAAGTTCGGTAGCACATCTATATGAGTGCGAACGCACTGATGCAAACAACAAAGTTATTTCACAGTTCCACCATGATCATGTATATATATGCAATGCAGTCCACTTATTCTACACTAAGTTCAGATCCAGAGAATTCTACCTAGGGCCTGGGGCCGAGGACCATTTTCGCTGACGGATGGTAGGGCGCGGGTGGTAGGCTGGGTCATTCCGATCCTGGATGAAAAGGCCGAGAAGGTGAAGATCATACATTAAACCTTAACTGGCGACAGGACTGATATATCTGATAACTGGGCCAACTGCGAGGCCTTTCCGTCCACCGAAAGCGATAGGTTTATAACTCTGGAGGGGAAGGCAAAGTTTCTGTTGTATCAGAAGGAGCCTCCGCAGTCGTTTGATACGGGTCAGTAGGAATGCATTGAGTCCTGAATATATGAATCTTCAAAGAAGCTGATAGGCTGAGGATCGCCATACTGACAGTCAAACCCGAGGATTGGTGACTGTGGTGTGGGAGCTCCTATGTTATTTGGGGTTGACCGATTACGCTACAGTAAAGCGGAATATTCGTGGTGTCTTAATTATAAACGGATGGATAAGTACTGTACTTCAGAAGGGCGAAGAGATTGGACGGAAGAGGAAATGATGGCTTATTTGGATTGGAGTAAGGCGGAAGATGATCACATTGAAGCTCAGATATCTCGAGAGATATTGTGCATTGCGAAACTCTTGCAAATCCTTGGCGTTATATCGAGAATTGCTGCCGTGGCGTCGTCAAACAACAACAGCTCTTGAGGGTCAACTATAGATTTGTATTATATAGATAATATATGAAAAATGATGCTAAGCTTCTTCTGATTCTGATGATATAAACAAGTAGTAATACAACTCCTAGTTGATAAAGTTGACTTTTTATCCCCTCCGTACCCAAGATGTGTCAATTAGCGCCTTGGCATATATTAGGTACCTTTCCGGGCACCTTATGGGTACTGAATTTATGCCAAGGCGCTAATTGACACATCTTGGGTACGGAGGGGATAAAGTAAATTCTACTTCTTCAAGTAGAATCTTATTAGAGATTTAAAACTTATATAACTATTAGAATCAGAAGAAGCTCAGCATCATTTTGATATACAAATTATATAACACAAATTCATAAATGAGCCTCAAGAGCTGTTTCTATTTAACAACGGGGCGCCAGCAACTCCGCACGATCTCTGCAATGGCTCGAAACTAGAACAAATCAATAGTCCATAGATTGCTAAAACGTAAGCTGAGGAGTCTATCTACAGCGCGGCCAGCGCTCTGATCTATGTACTCCTCCATCGAGCGCCAGAGGTGCTACTAGCTGACCTGCGCAAAGGATCTAACGGAGCATCCGCAGGGCCAGAAGCGGTAGCTTCCCTCTTGAGGAGATTTTACGTCCCCAAAGGGGCTATACCAATCTGCTGTTCCATGGTTCCTGGTCGGGGAGCAACGTACCGTACAAATGCTTCTATTGGCGGCATTGTAGCGTAACGGCAAGAGTTCCGCGTGCCGTCGTGGATACGCCATGGGCGCTGCCATCCGAGTGCGTGGCTGGTCACGTGTATTTCCTGCGCCATGGCAGAGGAAATGCTTCATCCATCTCAACCTCCAAATATTTGCAAGAGTTTCGCAACGCACAATAGGAGATAATCCTTTCAAGCATCGGCGAAGAGGTGTAACTGATATTTGGAAACAGGTGGAGGAGGATATCGAACAACAGCAATCTCTGCTTTCAGCTGAACATGAAAAGAGCTATATTATAGTTAGTCCATAAAATAGCCAGCTATTTCTTCTGCATTGAGATATGCCATGATTATTATAGTGTGAGTTCAGTCACGTAAACGCGAACTGGACGGGCCCATAGAATTAGACGCTTACATAATAATGCCACGGGTCCGTGTGCCTAGACGTCGCCGGCTGGCATCCACAGATGCGCGGGAAATACGCAGTAAGTCCGTCCTAGTGGGTCCATTTTGCTTCTTGATATCTCAGTGGTGGCAATTGAGGGAGTAGGCTTTTGGACAGCCGCGGAATCTCAATGCACACTGTGAGAGGCAGACTGGAACATCTATGAGTCTGCTTGCTAGGAATTCAGTACTCAATTTAGATAGTTATTGAAGTAATCTAAGCATCAATCGTACAATGCAATTACACAGTTGCTGTACAATGACCGTGCGAAACCGTTGATAAATCCTACTTCCAGTCCCTCATAGCGGCCAAAGACGACAGCGTATCTGGATGTTCAGGGCCGATGGTTCGCTGCCGTCTTTTGGCACAATTCCTCATCAGGGCCAGGGCGTCAGCATCGCGGCCTTGACAAGCATAGCGACACATTCAAGGCCTTGTAATTCACAGATTGATTCGCCCACCTATACGACTATTTGCGCTAAAGGTACGAAGATTGGCTCTGTTGTCACCACAATAACTGGCCGGCCTCTACGCGAGCCTGCCTCTACTATTACATCTGCGCCACCGGGACCATCCATGGTGTTGGCGCAGTTTCGTCCTCCGCAATCTGTATTGCGTTCATCTGTGCCAACCTGGCCTTTAGTTCCGGCGCATATACCTCCGCAGGACTCTTGCGCTTCCGACCACGTTTTGCCCTGCCCGCGCTGGTTTTCTTAGCCTCAGGTATACCGACTTTCTTAGCCTCTTTTGCAGCCTTTTTAGCGTCTCTCGTAGCCTTCTTAGCTTCTTTCGCGATCTCTTTCGCAGCACGATCGGCTCGCGCCTTCTCGAGGTCCTCATAGCTCATCACTCTCGCGGTCCCCAGCATTTCTGGCTTGGTCGAACGGCGAACTTTGGCTTCATTGTTTATTTGGAACAAGAATTGGTTGTGCTCCTGAAGGAGAGCACGCTCGGCAAAGGACAGTTGGGCGGCGTTCGTAAGCTTCTGTACATGCCTCTCAAGGCGCTGTTTGCTCGTCTCGTCAAGCATATCAGCATCCTGTTTAATCAGATTATGTAGCGACGTAACAGCTTCTGCTGACACTGGCGTCAGGGGCGTTTGCGGTACGCGGTCTTGCGCACAGGAATCCACCTCGTTGATTTTCGGAACGGCTAGTTCAGCAGCAGGCTTCGGTGTATCACTGAGTACCCTGTCAGGGTTGAAGGAGAACAAACTGGCTTTGGCCCATCCGGCTCGTATGTTCCTGGATGTGAGTGCTCTTTCCTGGCAGGACTGTATAAATAGATAAAATGCTCCTTGCCGACTGTTCCTACACCTCCTCGCTTTGGTTGTTCGACCTGGTCACGATATGCTGCCTTTAGTGGGCCAAAAACCGAGATGTCATAAGGCTGGAGCTTGTGGGAGGTGTGAGAAGGGATACGACACAAGGTGATGTTGTTTTCGAAACAGAACTCCAAGATCTTAAGGGTTTCGTGTGTCCTGAAGCTGTCGTATATCAGTACATGTGGTTTCTGGTTAGCCAATTCTTTAGTTTGGGGGTCAAACATAAGCTTAAGCCACTGTAAACTGATAAATGAGTCAGCGTATCTACTGTCGGAGTACGTATAATGGCATCTAGGAGTGGGGTGTATGGTCCAGTTGGCTCAGTGGGTTGCTGCTGGCCAGATTATCATAGGGTCCAAATACCTACCGTTGGCACTCACGCATTCGATGGGCAGTCACCGTTGTGCGCTTGACACGCGCGCCTCTGTAGCTTCGCTTGCTATCCTTGCCCACTATGACTTTGACAGAGTTGAGCTTGGAAAGCATGACGCCAGTCTCGTCCATGTCATACACATTCTCCCGAAGCACGGCAGGATCATGGAGTACCTTTCCAATCACCTCGAACCAGTGCACAACCTTATTGTAAATATCGTAGCGGTTCCAGTCTAAGGCCCCACTCTTACTCGCTTTGAGTTCTGGATGGCGTTTGTAGAAGAACTGGGGCTAGTTCCTTGTGGGCGGCTTGTTTGACCGTATATATTTTATTCGAACGGAACGTCCAAGAGCATCCTGTTGTGCCCAGGGTGTCCACTCAATTCAATTTAGTCAAACTTCGATCGACCGTCGTCCGCATGCACGGTGCTGGAGGGTGGTACGAGGGACATCGCCATGATCTACTAGGGCACGGAATGATTTAGTCACGCCAGGGGGAGCTCCTCGCGCCTGGGGAAGAGTTTAGATTTCAAAAACCAGGGGCATGGCTCTTGTAGAAGACAATTAGGCCAATTCCGAGCTGAATTGGCCAGTAATTGGTGTAGAAATCAATGGAATTGGTAGAGCTATCTTCATACTCAATGCTGGTGTTGAGCTTATTGCCTATTTGAGTAATATGTGTACGTGAGAATAAAATATTCTTTATTCTCCGCAAATTATAAATCCTATACCAAAGACTAGGGACCAACTTTGACCACGAATTACTATCTAACAAAGCATTTCTACACATTCGGACCTGGTTAGCTGTATTCAGCGTCTCTTGTTCTATCTCTGATATAATGTCTAATTCTATAAGATCGTCATTGAGTCCATTTTCAGAAGCTCCGTCTGACCTGAGGTCCTTCGGAGTAGGATCCTCTATCTCCGCAGAACAAATGCGTACTCCAACTCCATCAAACGCTTTTTCGGCTATTCAAGCTCGGAATCCTCGAAAGCGAACTCGAAACTATGTTTCGCCTCAAAGAGAATCAAAACGAGCACGAACTTCACTCATATGGGCCCATGGAAAAGAGGTGGTGTTGGAAAACGGGTCTGATACACAACGCTATTGGGAATGTAACGTCTGTCAAGAGCGATATGTTGCTACTTTAACAACAAGGCTAAAAGAGCATCTACAAAAGAAACATGATATCAGCTTAAACAGCGCAACTCCTTCTTCATCCTAGCTATTTGTTATTGATTAATAACGTCAATTTACAGAGATTTAGCAGCTTCAGAATCTGCCTACAGTAATCAATACATCCTTTCAAGATCGCCTCATCAAATAGGTTACAGTCTCTCATGCCTCTTTTAATATAGTCACTAATAAGCATTTTCAAAGCTTATTCCTTTTGTCTTTGAGCCCTACGAATGAAATCCTGCCCTATCTATCTACTAGCAATAGCACATTACGAAATTAGGTTAAGAACAAGTTCAAAAAGGCCAAAAACAAGGTAGCACAGATGCTTCAGAAGAGTTAAGGAAAGATTTATATCTCCTTCGATATTTGGACCTCCTCTAACAGCTATGCACTGGCCGGAATCGTCTCACACTTCGTTGACAATCACTACCAAGTTAGAGCTATCTTACTTGGTATTCGCGAGGTCTATAAAGAGCATTCGGGCGAAAACGTTAGTCATACAGTCGTTGACGTTATTCGCAAATTCCAGACTGAATCCGAACTTGGCGTGTTTGTTCTTAATAACGCCGGCAATAATAATATAGCAGTTCACTACATCCTTAATAAACTCGAATTACACAATACGCACGAAAAAGAGCACTGCCGATTACGCTATTTAGGTCATATCATCAATCTTGCTGCGCAGGACTTTATATTTAGCCAGAATTCAGAGAAATAATTGTGAGAACATACTGCTATTAAGGAGAGCGCAGATATTGAAGATTTACAACGCAGCTAGGTGTCTCAGGGCCTTATTAGCCAGCTTCAAAACCTTATTTCGTTAATTTGAAGCAGCCCATAGCGCAGGCAGGCGTTTCGCAAGATAATAGGCACAGATATAAATCTAAATAAGCAGAATTTGATGCTTATTCAAAATAATACTACTCAATGAAATTCTATATATAATATGCTTACTTACGCGCTAGAGCTCAAGGATCATATTCAAGTGTACGTTAATAATTGTCAAGCAAAACGCGATTTAAAAGGCAGAATAGCAGACGAAGCTATTCAAAAGCATCCTCAGCTTACAGAGGATGATTAGATAATGCTTCAAGAGCTTTGCGACGCTCTGCAGCCGTTCAACGAAGCTACAAACTTCCTACAAAGCAATAACAAGGGCGCTAGATACGGCTTTTTATGGGAATGCCTCCCTATGATCGAATGGCTGCTATTGACGCTCGAAACACTCAAGGAGGAGAAGGGTATCAGAGATCGAATTGGGCTATCTGCAAATAACGCGTGGAACAAGATAAAGAAATACTACGAAGTAACTGATCTCTCTCCCTATTACGTTGCTGCTATCGTCCTCAACCCTACTCATAAATGGAGATATTTTGATATCCATTGGAAGAACAACAAATACTGGATCTCTGAGGCCAAGAAGCAGATGAAGGCGCTATGGAGTAGATACAAGATACAGCATAAGCACGCAGTTGATGAGGAGGAGTTGCTGCCTGCGGCGAAGTTCTCTCCTAAAAAAGGCTTATTTAAGAGCTTTTTAGCCTGCGGCCAGTCAACAGGCAATGAAGATGAGGCTGCTGACGAATATATGGCTTATTGTCAGCTACCTGCGCTCAAATTAACGCCTCAAAATCTCATTACTTAGTGGAGAGAACAAGAGCCCTCATTTCCGCTTCTGGCTACTCTTGCGTACACTATCCTTGCTATCCCTGCGATGAGCGCTGAATGCGAACGCGTATTTAGCTCTGCGAAGCTACTTATTACGCCAAATCGTAATAGGTTGAGCCCAGATACAATTGAATAGTCCGAATGCCTCCGAAATTGGTACAACAACAAGGTTATTTGAGACACAGAGAGTGGTAAGTATCGTCGATGAGCTCTATTTGAGTGCTAACAGCTTAAATATAGCTATATTCTTCTCCTCGGCGCCTCATCTTCCTCCTCCTCCTCCTCCTCGCCGCCGTCGAAGTCGAAATAGCGCATACTCATACAAATTGACTGAATTGTCAGATCAGTCAAATCAGTCAAATCGAGGGCGCTGATTATGTAATCAATTCAATCCGAGGCCTCGGATTGACTGATTTGAATTGATGGATACCCTGGTTGTGCCAAGAACTTAACGAGGGCTTTTTCCTCCCACGGTGTGAGATAACGTTGGCTTTGAGCCTTCTCTTCGATCGACCGTCGTCCGCATGCACGGTGCTGGAGGGTGGTACGAGGGACATCGCCATGATCTACTAGGGCACGGAATGATTTAGTCACGCCAGGGGGAGCTCCTCGCGCCTGGGGAAGAGTTTAGATTTCAAAAACCAGGGGCATGGCTCTACTCCCTGGTCTTTAGCCTTGTCTTCCTTAAGCCTTCTTGACTAGTTTCAACTTTTGTTCTCGTCAGAAATAAATGGGCTCATTATGCAGCCACACCAAGGAATTACGTCTTGGCATCCGAGCAGAAGTGAGACATAGTTCCCTGTGGACCAACCAGACACATATTTAAGCTAGGGCTGAATGGTACAAGGAGGACATTCCTGCATAATATCCACCAAGACTAGTGATTCTGGCTGAGTGGCTTCAGTAAAAAGAAGTTTGAACAGCTGAAAGGGAAGTCATTACGGAACGGAATATCCCCCTATATATAAGCGCCTGGATACTATACCAAGACTTTACACATGTTGGTAGAATAATAAATAGATGCTACACATCAATAGTTCCAGCCACAAATCAATATTGTCTTGGCATCCAAACAGAAGTACTTAGTAAGACATAGTGCCAAATAAACCACCTACTAGTACTAGTGGTATGCCGCACCAAGACTGCCAAGAACGCTACGCATGCTTAGCGCGCGCACACAAAAGGAGAACTCTGCACTCTAGGAGTCAGAGTTCCTCTATCGTTCGACTTATAGAAGTCGGGAGACCATCTTTCATCGCCACTGCTGATAGTGCTTTACGACTGCGAAGTGCATGCTATTCGTATGCTAGATTGTCACGCCGCTCAAGACCCTTGGTGCTCCTGACACCTAGACATATATTTAGGCTAAGGCTGAACGATATACTACGGTAGAAGGCATAATGTTTGTCACCTGCAAACTAGTAACTAGTTGTAACGCCAAGATAGAACGCCACAAACCATCGCCTAATTAGGACTAGTCTAGCTTTTTCTTTCATATCGAGTATGCCGTCCTTCTGCATCTTTCAATGCCTGGCATCCCTCTAGCGTAGAATTAGAACGAACTTGATAGAATTCGTAGATAGTGCAGAATAAGATAGAATCAGTAGAATAACACGTAGATTTAATAAGACGCGTGTAGAATGGCGATAGTGAGCATTCGTACAGAGCAATAGGGTATCTGTATAAGCGCTGTTAATAACGTTACTTACTAGTGTGCGGGTGTTAAACATTATGCCTCCTGCTGTAGTAAGAAGGACCTTCCTGTACAGAGTCGTGCCCCAAAAGTAGTGCAAATACGCTAAGGATATATGTGCCAAGAGGTACACTCTTGAAAATCATGTTATTTGACTTCTGCTCTATAAGCTTTGGGCCAGCTGACACCTTAAATAGTAGGGCTTTAGATGACCCTTGGCTCTTAGCTGTTTAATTTTGGGGCTAATATATCTTAGAACACTGGTTGCTTAGGGGACAGAGTAGTGGCATTTCTTATAACGTTTAGGCTTACTATAGGCTTCAGCCCCTGGAACGCTTGGAATGACAAGACAAATTTATCCTTTTATCTTGGCAAGCTATCTCTTAGTGTATTTGCACTACTTTTGGGGCACGACTCTGTATAATATCTACTAAGAGTAGTGATTCTGGCTGAGTGGCTCTAGTGAAAAGAAGTCTGAACAGCTAAAGGGAAGTTGTTCCAGAACATCCCGCCACATATAAGCGCTTGACCAGCCACAAATTAATATAGTGTAAAAAGAGATTAAGGTCAGGAATAAACACGAGACGATTTCAGGCTGATGCTATGTGATACAGAGTATCCTTAACTTAAAAAGTAGAGAAGCACCCCCCATCAGGCCCCTCTTCTGATGTGTACACCAGAGTACTTCTTCTCATTTGCACTGGAACCTAAATTCTTCGTCGATCCACCATAAGGCTCGCACACTATGAAGCTCTCTCTCCCCCTTCTCGTTGTTCCCCTCCTTGCTAGCCCTTGTTGGGCCGCTGGAAGGTCCACGACAGCCTGTAACGCCGACAACTGCCTGCGTGCTCTTAGAAACCCTACGCGCACCGCTGCTGCGACGTCATTCTGCCATTCATATACCCAAGCAAATGTAACGGCCACAACGTCTCTCCCTACCCAGTTCGCCACAGCGTGTGGGTCTGGCCCAACGCAATCGTCGCGCTTGAGCTCTGCCTGTTCCTGTTATGTGGTGAGTCCCTGTTCTTTCTATGGGAGAGAGTATGGTTAGTGAGACATGGCTAATTTATTTGGGGGATGGATAGCCAGCGTCAGCACCAGCATGTGGCGATACCAGTTCGGACAGCAACAACTGTGGGGCCTGTGGGAACGTGGTAGGTTCCAAGAGAATGCTGTGTCTTGACCACAATTGTTCACAAAAGCCCAGTGCATCACCGGTTCAACCTGCTCATCAAGCGCCTGTGTTTGCACCAACTCTGGCAAGCCTCCTTGCAACGGGCAATGCCCGGACTTGACTTCTGACAACAATAACTGTGGGGCTTGTGGGCACTCGGTATGTACTTTTTGACTTTTGGAGCCTCATTCCCAAGTTCTCAGATCTGGTTCTCAGATCTGACTAGCGCTCCATTCAACTAACACCACCCCCTACTGTAGTGCGCATCCGGCACCACCTGCCAATCCGGCGCCTGCGCCCCCACCTCCGGCACCTGCTCGAGCTACACAGCATCGTGTTCCGATGTGATGAACGGCTTATTAGCAAGCAACTCAATCGCAAGTCCGCAGTTAGTGGATTATCGCATACAGAGCGCAATCCTGGGAATTACGACCCCAAGCGACTTCTTGGCGGCACTGGGTCCAAACCCATGCCAAATCTTCACTGATCCTACAGAGCATGACTCCTGTGTGGAACTATTGGCAAATTCGCAATTTGTCAGCCAGTTGACCGACATAACAAGCGGGTTCTTGAGTGCATACCAAACATGCGCTTCGGACTTTGCAATGGGTGGATCAGATTATCAGATAATCAGCAACGAACCGAATAACGCGACCTGTACCAACACTGTGAGAAGGCATGAAAAACGGACATGCGGTGTCGGAGAGGATTACGACCTGACACGGAGCATGCTGGAAGGCATCAAGCTAGGCCCCCGGAAATCGTCGGGTCTTCAGTTGATACGCAAGCAGTTAAGCACCTGCGCTCGGACCGGACAGTGCTTCCAGAGATGCCCGGATTGCAGAGACCAACAAACATACTGTGGTACACAAGCGATCATAATAACAACAGGAGTGTGTGGGTCCTTGGCTGCATTCGCCAATGCTGCTGTGCAAGGATTAGCTGCCGCTGCATGCGGATCAGCGTGCGCTCCGTTAGGTCCGGGAGCAGTAGCATGCGCTGCCTTCTGTGGAAGGGCGGCGGGCGGCTTATCAGCTGTGGCCGTCGGCGCTGCATGCGCAGAACTGAGGGCCGCAATCTGTGACCCGCTCACTCAGCGGTGTGCAAACTGCAATTCGGCGAACAACGGAATATGTGATGCAGGCAGTACGCAATGTTGTCCAGGTGAAACGGGTACCCAGTGCGGAGCCGATTGTTGCTGTTGCCCCCAGTGCCAAGCTCCAGGCGGCATTAACTGCGAGTGCACAGCAGCCCCATGTTAAAGGGACTTTCCTCTGTATTTGGCGGGGCTGCTATCCAGCGTCATAGCAATGTTATTCCGGTGGAGGTTATGTCCTGACGGCGACCTGGTTAGTTAGTTTTCCCTCCAAGCTGTGTAATCTCATCAATCTTTATCGATCTCGCCGATGAGGCTGAGGGCTTCGAACCAAGAAATTTGTGAACGCGGCCTTGATCGGAGAAATACTTATGCGGACAAAGATCGCGGATTGCCTTTACACATGTTTTGTCCTGGACCACCTTGACCGTGGTGCTATAAAGGCGGTACCGTCCCCCCTCTAACCCAAAATAAAGAGGTTGATATTATAATCAGGCGATCTATTTCGAGTGATATCCATTCCGTCTGATTTGCTCCTTTCGCTTCGGCCAATTTCCAAAACTCTCAAGTATCATATCATTAAGCTACATTCCTTCCTTCCAAGAAGCGGCGATGGTTTGGTCTCCCTGATACTTCTGCTTTGTTAGGCCACCACCAACTGTGATACGAGAAGCGGTCACGCATCCAGCTCCAGTTGACCATTTCACGCATTTTGCAATATCCTCTGGCACACCCAGCGGCTTCGTTGGAGACTGCCATACCATATGTCGACCGCTACAGCCCTGCCTTCGTCGGATTTGCCAATGGAAATAAGATCTTACCCAAGCTCACCCTGAACGTCCTTTGTAGCTTAGGGTGATTCGGCTCTCGACAGTATTGGCCTCAGTCGCATCCATGGTTGGATGGTCGGTCTCGAAGGTCCCTCCAACGCCTCCGACGAGTGCGATCGCTAGAAACCATCCCAGCATGTCTTTCTGCAATCGTCTCACCCAGGGTCACTGTCATCAGATAGCGCCAATTCACACATATCGACCGCGTTCCCTTTGCTAGCACTTCGCTTCTCATCCCTCGCTTTCCAGTAAGTGTAAAATGCAAAAGCAAGGATAGTCGATGGAACAGTCAGTGCTACCCACAACCATATCCGCGAGGTTCCGCTCATCCAAGCTCTCTTTGTGAAGAATGGCATAGCTAAAATGGCCTAAAGTTGACGTGAAATTAGCTGCCGACGTTCTAGAAAGCTCGGATCATCTCACTTACTGCGAAGGAAGTTCCAGGCAGAAAGAACGCGGTCAGTAGTGCGATCTGGACGTCGAATCAGAAACAGCTTGCAGAAGCATGGCCGAATATACTTACTGTTTTCATCGCCACACTGTCTTTTCGCATCTCGATCGCAATCTTTTGGGATTGATCGGCCAGCCGGCGGGAAAGCACAGCTTCCAGACGGGCGGCTTTCAATAACTTGTGAGTCGCTTTGCTGTTTTCTACAAGAAGCCTGTCATTCGAAACCTGGATGTTGTTGAAGAGCTAGACAACACACGTTAGTGTTCGCACTTCAGTTTTGCTTAGATACTTGATCATTACGTACTAAGGCGAGGATATTCTTGGTTTTACCCTCTAGCTCCTGACGAATGCTACTGATAGCGCTAAGGTGAGAAGCTACCTGTAGTAGTCCAAATCTTGTTCTCTCTGGCGGGGTTTTGCGGACGTATTTGAAGTAGGTCTCATGTTGTTGAGCAATGGCTGCAACTATGTCCCCCAGCCATCCAAGCTCTGAGCCATACCGATGCAGATGAGCTGTCATAGTGTGCAAGGCTTTATTAATCTCAGTGTTGAAGTCTGGAGTGACCAGGTGCAGGTTGTTCATTTGGTTCTGCAGGCTTTTCTCCTTGTATTTTCGTTAACATTACTAAAGGGTGCGCAAGCAGGCCACTCTAGGCTGGACTTACATGCACTATAAGCTGGTTGTTGAAGCTGTCCAGAGCGTTGTTCCACCACCTAAGAGCACTTGTGATGTACACTAGATGTATGAAGAAAGGATCATCAGCACAATGAAGATGCTCAAAATGTTTCAGTGCCTCCTTGATGCGGCGCTGCGGCTCTTTCACAGATCTACTCCAGCGCCCGTCCTGGAAGCCGATGCAAAGGCTGGTTGTTTTCATTGTGGAGAGGTTCGTGCTGCAGTACACTGCGATCTGTGAACCACGGATATCAACCTTCTCATCGGGAAGGTGTAGGTAATGGAAAGGATCCATCTGACTGCTGCCAGCTGTGCTCCTCGCATGACCCAGCGCATTTTCAGTGCATTCAACTTGGATTTGCACGGGAAGAAGATACCAGAAGTCAATTGTCTTCGCTTTCCCAATTGTCTGAGGGGCTCGATACCCGCGGCCGGCAGGTTGACCGAAACGAGAAACTGCTGCAACAAAGGCCGGTGGCGCTTCCAGATAGGAGAGAAGTAAACGAAGCGCGGAAACGGAGATGCGCAACTTTCGAGCATCTTTGGGAATTTCAAGTGATTTTGACTCGATCAAAAATCTATTGACGAAACTGGAGATACTTTAGCAGCGTAATGCTAACATTATTCAGGAGGAGGTACTATACTAGAACTCGAAGCGAGCTTCATCCCTCATCTATCAGCCGGTTAATACTGGACAGCATTTTTTAGAGGTTCAAATATACTTTGAGTGTGCTGGCAAGTTCTTCCATGTTCAGGTCTCCATCCAAGAGTACTGTCAATTTTAAAACGTCAGTGACTGTGTCAGATCTTCCAGTGGGGGAGCTTTTACCGGAGCCCTGTTTGCTGGCGCGCAGGCATCTCACCGCTGTCTCGTCTGACAGTAAAGTTTTTTTCAAGCTCACCGAGATTGTAAGAGATGTCGTCTCCATACTCTCTGGAGCGAGTCAGCCTTTGCCCTTCTAGTAATATGTAAATTTGGTGCTATTCTTACAAGTCTAGAGCATAGCCTTCAATGTTAAAGGGCCAATCCATCCATGATTCCTTTCCATTCTTCTGTTTTCTTAAGCTCCGTGTGGGAGGACTAGTACTTGGTTTTCGTATTTGCTCTACTTTGAGAATTTCTGGTCACCGGAGCTTGATGTCAGGGGAAGTTTTTCGACGACTGCGGGCATGTCCTGATGAGCAATGCTCTCATTCGCATCCAAAAGCGGCGCCATGAATAGCAACAAGTTATCGAGAATCACCTTAAGATGATGTAGTTATGAATCGCATAGAATAATCCAAAGTTGACATAATGTAGCTAGAAAGACCAGCGGAGTGAAATCAAACAAATCTGACCCTGGAAAAACTCCTCCGTTTGACAGAAAGAAGCTGTCGGATAAGCTAAGCTTGAGTGGGAAGTTGTGTCCCTATCAGAGCTCTTCTCATCCATAACCTGCTCAGCCTCAACGCTCGAGGCAGTGCTGGAGAACTTGTTGCACTCGTATATGCAGCCAAAAGCGCCGCTGGTTACAGCAATGCAGATGGGCCGAGCTTCCTGCAGGATACGAAATAAAGAAGCAGAATTAGATAGAGGACACCAACTAGTGAACGATGTGGTCACAGTCTTGTCTGCGTACAAGAAACATCTTATCCCAGGGTGCAGCAAGGCTGAAAGACAGACAAAGGCTGAGCCTCCGATTTCTTGAACTTCATGAAAAGCTCAGGATCAGGCTGGAATGACTTTCACCTTTATAAGTTGCCGTCCGTAGCCTCTTGCTCTTTCCTAATTCTCTAATTCTTATTTCATGAATGACGAGAACAGGACCTTCAGGTGCAGGCTGACACTGTGAATACCAAGCCCCTCAGAGCGCTGCTGGCACCCTTTCCATCGCCCATAATGGACTCGGAAGGCTCTATTTCTACGAAGATGGTCAATTTCGAGCCGGAGGACACGAAAGTTGATACATTGCAGGACTCTCAAGAGCCCAAAGCTGAGCAGCAACAGGTCGCCGATGAAGATGACTCTTGGGTCGCATTTCAGGACTGCACAATCGCTTTTGCGATCGACACTTCTGGCAGCACGCTGGGTAATACACTGAACATTGAACGTGAAGCTATTTCTAGCATCTGGAGTCTTCTGACTCCCCTTGCCCGAAGCCGCAGCAGAGTCATCCCATGGAACTCGACGACCGAGCCTGTCATTTCCATAACAATGCTGCCAAATCTGCGGTCGTATGGTGGCACATATCCAACTTCCCTGGTGCAAAAGAGCGAGAGCCGCAACACTATTAAAAGCTCAACGCTGTGGGTGCTCCTTACTGATGGCATTATTGATGCCAGTGAGTATCAGCAATTTGCGAAGGACTTGGCGCTACACGGCCTCCATGGCATCGCCTGCATTATCATGGTGTTGGGGAATACGCGCCGATCACCGTGGGACTGCGATATTTCTGTGGGTGTCTCTGTCTTCGCCGCCGTGCCGGATCGCTTGTTTCTGTATGTTGATGACACTTCTGAGATTGCATACCTGATGCAATGCTCAGGACGATTTACAAAGATCCTCGAAGTGCAAGGTAAGAAACAACCTGTATTAGACACGAGAACGCTCTGGTTCGACCTTCCCCAAATTGACCTCAAAGATCTTGTCTATGTGTCGATCCCGGTTCCCCGAAAACTGGGGAAAATTGAGCTGGCTCTTCAAGGTGGACTGGTGATCAATCTGGAAGACCTCTGGTCCGGACAGGACCTTGGCGAAGAGACGACTGATCGCATTTTTCAGCATGGCGACAATCTGAGATCAATCATGCTTACAAGCCAAACTCGAGGCCATGTGGAGAGTTTTCAGAACTGGCTCAAGCCCTTTCTCGAGCCTGGAAACCTGCAATTTTCTGCGAAACTTGAGGACGGGGGAGAAGCGATAAGGACAATCAAGGCAATGCTGGAAGAAATGCAGACTGTCGTAATCCCTGAACAGCTTAGGGTAGAGCTCCAAGTGAGACTCCGTACTGCCCATGAGCAGAACAAAGTCAACCTTCTCAAGCAATATGAAGGAAAACGCAAGAAAAGCAGCCACCGTCGGAAAAGTGGTAACTCAGCCAATGAGCGGTCCCACGAGCCTGTACATCAGGGCCGGTTTCTCAGCAGCAGAACTATTGGTGGCCTGACACCAGACTCAGACGAGGATTCGGACACATGGAAAACCGACAAACTTGTCAGAAAAGACCGCATCACACCTTCATCGTCAACTGCAGGTGTCCAGGAAGTCCGTTCGTCAAACGTGGTACCACTGTTTACGAACGATTTCTTCAAGGGCACTGAGCCCGGACGCTCATTCGACGGAAGATGCAACTTGTGTGCAAGTCTAGATTCGACTTTGGTGCTTTTCTTGCGTGACCAGCCATCAAAACTCAGCACACCTGGGTTCCCAGCTGTGAGCAGCGTTTCAAAACTGGCTTATCCCCTAGCAATGGGCACCTTTCCCGAGACCGACATCTTGTCCAACTACGCGTGTTGTGACTCGTGCTCATTTCTGCTAGCGCAATCTGGTCACACTCCGACCGGAGATGCCATCTTGTGTGTCTTACCTTTAGTGTCGTATAAAATCAACAGCCCAGCTTATCTTAAGCAGTTGAGGTTAGCATTCAAGATGAGGTTTGGAGACTTTGATACACTCATGGTGTTCCTTGCCGTCTTGCTTACAGCAAAGGAGAGGGTAGCGCCTGTCGCAGAGAAGGAGATATGGCATCGAGGTGTCACTTGGCTTTGCCGTGATCTCATGAAAGAAGCGCGATACTGAGAAACCCCAAGCCAGAATCTTCTAACGCTGGATGCAAATTCCACCTCGATGAGCATCGAAAATGTATTTTTGAACAGTGTTCGAAGCGTTTACCAGGGGAATGCATGGGAGGCGTTCTTCCGATACCCACTTGAAGGGTTCGTGACGCTGATGTTGGCACTGGATTGTATGCAGAGCCAACCAGATCTACCCCACGGCACCGAAAACGTCGTTTGGCAACGCTTTTTGTTTGCGCTCACTGAGCAATATCACGAGTATCGAGGAGTAAACGGCCCAGTGCTGACGCATGTGGCCATGACGCAGCTCATCATGGAAGTCGATCCAAGAGACGTGAAACAGCCAAGACCTCGAGTCGGTTCCAGTATGAGATCTTTCCGAGACCTCGCCCGCAACATGCTGGGCGATCGACGACCAGATTCTCGCCTCTTCCTTGACCTTGATACTCTGAAATTGAGTCCGCTACTGAAAGCGTCTGACATCAAAATCTGGAAGAGATTGAAGGATAAGTTTGAATGGATTGATACAGCTGCCGGATATGCTGTTGGAGCTTTTGTGCATCACCTAGCTCGGGGTGGCACCACGCAGACGTCGGCCCAAGCTTATTTTGCACAACTAATGAGTCAGAAGGCTTTGCAAATCGTCTTTTTGAAACCATCAAAGATTGATGCAGAAGCCGCGGAAGGTCTGGTGGGAGATCTACCGTTGATGGACAAAGAGGGCAGCACACAAAACGAATAGTGGGAGTTGGGAGTGGATCGTATCTTGATGATTTGTAAGTATTTCCCAAATGCTGATCAGTCATTACGTCCAAAACTTGAGTACGTGCTTGAAGCACGTCTCGTCTTCGCAGGCTTGTCCATTTGGGACGGTCTCAGCTGTGATCGGGAGAGCGTGGAGATGGTTGATGTGCTTGATTTCTGCCGCGCGTAATATTTCAAGTTCTCAGCCGCGATCTTCGCGATGTCAAGATCTTCCTTGTCCAAGCCTGTTCCCTGACGCGGGCCCATATCAAAAGAACGGGATTCGTACGTGTTCAGTGGAGACTCTAAGCCCATGCGTATTCTCCATTCGGGTCCAGACTCGGTGACAACTAATCTCATGTCATGCATCTTTTCTCGCTGCGGTACATAGACAGAGTTTGTTCTCGGGTGGCCGCGCAATCTTGCCGGAGCATCTCCACGAGTGCTCCGGGAGATGTGCACACAGTTGGTGTCGCAGTCGAAAACAAGGGCATGCGCTGGACGGTCTCAGCAGTGATAGTCCAATGAGCCGGATATTCGGTGCTATAACCATGCTGTTCATTTTGCAACTCTCCAGTAGATGTATCTGCGTGTATTCTAAATGGTTCTCGCCTTGCAACGGTGGGTTCGTGAGTGGAAGGTTTTAGGCTAACATGCGGCCTCAGAGATGGTGTTTTATTCGGAAGATCTCGCTCACGGAAAGACCCGTCTGGCAGATATGCAAAGTCGTAGGCATTGACAGCTGAATCTTCTAAGATTGCTGCATGTATTGTGCACTCCTCGATTTTCGAAGGTGTGAAGTGAAGTTTGGGTCTTGAAGGGAGCTGCACGCCTGAGCCGGCTTCCGTTGTCGATGCCAGCGATACCGATGACGCCCAGGTCGAAGGAAAAGAGCTTGTATAGGTGAGCTTGTCCTCTTCCGCCATTGTTGCTCTATCTTATTGAATAGCACGATACTTGCCAGAGCGTGTACTCTCTGCTTCAGAGTGTGTGTTTTTGTGTTCTTCAAGACGACTCGCACATCGCCACTCAAAGCAGACGAGACGAGGTTGTGCGGCTGCGTCCATCCCAAGAATCGGCTTCATCCAAATGATCGGCTAAGTCCCCCACCCACATACTTGGCCACACCTCTTCGCCAGCTATCCATCTCAACTTTCTCGAATTACTCGGTTTCAAGGGCATATATTTGCCAATTGAACATGAAATTCTCCATTCTACGCGCCGTCAATAGATTTGAGAGCTCACGGGTCTCTTTCTGCCTATCCTTGCGGTTCCACGCCGCCGTTTGTGCGCTTCACTCATCCTGAACAGCCTTGATCTTCTCAATATCAGCAAAAAGCTTGTTCGAATTGACAATAGCTTTTTTGTGTTTTTTGTTTAAGCTGTTGAGTTTATTACTTTGAATTATCAATTATAAGGCTTACTATGGAGTTGTGCTTTAAAAGTAGTTGACTACCATTAGAGTGTGGCTACGGAACTAGCCATCTTGGACTTAGCTGCTGACAGTTAGTCTTTCGAATGACTTACGTAGTAAATCTTAATAAGCTTATAAGGCTTAAGATAAGGGGGTGATAGGGCTTAGAAGCCAAGTCAAGCCTTACTATGTATAAGCAGCACCCCTCAGAGCCTACAAAGGTAAGCATTATTTAATGACCTACTCCTGGTGCTATTAGTTGGTTGGCCAGCCGATGCTCAAGCTAAGAGAGGCTAGCAACGCCACACTAGCCCAGGGGGTCAACTTTTGAAGCACGACTCCGCACGCTTCTGTATACTACAAATGCCGGCCACGCAGTCCACGCTGTTGCAATTTCATGGATCCCACTTTCGCGGTCAACCACTCCCATCCCTGACTCATCCAACCCTGGGATTTGCTTCGACAGATGGATTACAAGAGATCAAGAACACCGAGAGAACTAATGATGTGCTCGGGCATTATGCTGATGGATTTAAGAGAACCTTGACCGATGAGCAAATTGCAATCTTCCGTCACACCGAGATCCAAGAGCTGCTGAGAGAAAGGAGCCAGCGAGCGGACACGCTTGCGGGATCAGCAGTCGCGCTCGACCACATTGCTGCAGCACGTTCTTCCCAAGCTCCATCTCCTGAGAGAGAAAACTTGTCGTTACCTTCCATACTGGCAGACGAAGACCGAAAGTATGGGATAAAGGAGGAAGAACAGCTCTGTGACAATGCTGAGACACATGATGAATGCCTGACCAGTGCCTCAAAGGTACATAATCCAGCCGTGGGCCATGTGGACCAAGACCTGAATCAGGCTCTTTCAGTGGAGCACTGGACGAATGTGAAAATCAATCCTCCAGCGAGGAAGACCATCAGATACCAGGAGGATGATCTATCACCAAACCCCAATCCTACAGCAGCTTCCCTCTGCAGCAAAGCACCCGTCAAATCAAGGTTCGTCTGGCCAGAGCTGCGCCATCAAGGATGAGAAAATAAAAGCCGTGGCGCTGTTCCACTTTCAGAAACATGTTGGCCAACCAGAAGACACAAATATGGAAAGCATTTTATGGAGGTTCAAAGTGGGTCTGGATGAGCAGTGGCAAAGGCATTGATTGTAGGTCAGCATGTCCTGAATATCAACAGCAACTCTGCGATGCATGAAGACAAATATAAAGTCATCCTTATACGGAACTCCTCGTCGCACCTCTCAACTTCGAGAAGTCCTGCCTGCAGGCTCTCGATGGTCGAGGGTGGTCTGGACGTATGCATGTCGACTTAATCTTCTCTCGGAAAATCATATCAACAAAGCAAAAGCTGAAAACTGACGAGGCAAGGAAGAACGCATGCTGACAACACATTAGGACTCCAAACCCGAATGTCTTTCAATCTCCTGAGACCAGCCTCTAGTTCACGCGTCGTGATTGGTCGAAGCAGCATCACTTCTTCGATTCGTTCTCGCCGATTTTTACAGTACCGTCGGCCTGAGCTGCATTATTTTCGCCCGAGTCCGCCGACTGATCCTGCGCAGATGAGTCGTTGGAATGGCTGAGTCCCAGAAGGTGCTCCTCTCCCGGAGGATATAAATCCCCTCCTATGCCCTGCAAGGAATCGTTGCCGAAGCTTTTTTGTAGAGGTGAGATAACTGAATCATCACTTTCATCTTGGGTAGGACTGTCGGGGGCGTTGACTTCTTTTAATCGGTTAGTAAGGGAAGAGCTGGTTCTTGTGGGCCACCTACCTAATGAAGATTCTGAAGTTCTTGAGTTCTGACAAAAGCTTGAAGCATCCGAGCTTGGCTCGCGACTTGGAGAACCATTATCATCGCTGTTTTGCATGGTCCATGCTTCTCTTTGGTGAGTCTGACTCTGCCCAGACCGTCTTCCCTGAACTGGCACCGACGACGATGAAGAGTCTTGGGGGTGGGCCATGATAAATAGAATGAGTGTCCAAAGTCGTGTCGGGCTTAGAGCTAAAGGAAGAAATTAAATAGTTTGATATCAGTTTGAACAGGTATCAATAGCTGCTTGCAAGCACTCATTTTATACCCTAAAGAAATTGATTACGGAAGGACACTCCTCGTTCCAGAGAACCTTGCTAATGCGCTTTTCACAGTGAAAATCGCAACGACCTGAATCTGGCCCAATAGGAAAGGCCTGGTCATGGGAAACACTCAAAGTGTTTCAAAGTATGCTATCACTCTTGTGATAAGTCGACCTGGTTGCTCATGTTGCCAGGAGTGTGGAACAGTCCATCCATGCACGCCAAAATCCTACCTAGGTGATCGGCAGCTGCAGGTGCTCCGGATGCAGCATTCGTTTGCCGCTGTTCCAAAAATGCTTGCATATCCTAAAGATTCCTGAGCAAAGGAGAGAATTGAAACCGAGAGTGAAGTAGAGGGTCCGAGGTGCTGGGACCAATGAATCCAAGCGGAAGATCAGTACGGGAAGACAGCCTCGTTCCGTTGCTACCGATTGGTGAGGTTACTGCAATAAGAGCCAGCTGGACATCGCGTTCAGATACTGCCAAGGCGCCATGGAAGTACGAGCCAATTCTGTGCTTAGAGCACTGTGGCCCAACCTCTCCGTATGCGTCTCTTGGGATTAGGAGGTCTTACGGTCAAGCAGCCGATCTACGCCAATCGCTGGCGGGAACCTTGATTCCAGCTGCTTTCGAAGGAGTACGGGGCTCAATGGGCATTTTACAGGAGCTAGCCACCCTCATTGTGGGCTGCCAAGGCTTGCCCCTGGAGATCCATCATATGCATATGTCATGTCACTACCCAGAAAATCGCACATCCCTTTACGAGGCCCGGATGAGGAGGCTGGTCTCAAGCTGGTTTCTAGTTCCTAGAATCAACCAGTAACCCTGTGAATTGGCTAGCCACGAATCAGAGAAGGTTCATTTGCATTGATATTTCCTTTCCCTTGGTGACATTCAAAAGAGCATGGTTGCTCTTGATCTGGGCACCTGTTTTCTTTGCTACGGTGGAACATTGTGGGAAGGCGTGGAGCTAATTAGAGTATTGCGCACTTGGGATAGCGTTCAAATTGATTGATGACGCGGAACGGCCGGATGCGCCTGTCGTGTACAATTTCTAGCCGACCCCTCTCCGTACAAAGCACGTTTTGAAGAAGTAAAAGGATACAATCACGCCGAGGCATAGTCTGCGGCTTTGATCCAAATTGCGGTGTGGGTCTTTCAAATCCCACAATTTGTTTTCGGTCTGTATAATTGCATTGAAACCGGTCTTGCAAGGATCATGGACGCCTTCTCGGCTTGAAAGAGACGATCACTTGATATCAGATCCGCCAAGTGGCTACTGATCCCAGAAATCACACGCGGATCATGACAGTCGACCTTGAATGGTGCCTAATCAAAATGCCACCATTGACAGCGACTCCATCTGTTGCAGCAAGAGGGACTTCCCAAGGGTGGCCTGCTTACAGACACCAGCGCTTCGAGACAAGTGCTTACGTTCTGACGGTAGGCCTGGAGACGGGGGCCACTGGCGAACTTACACTCTAGAGCATGCCTCCACAGCTCTGAGACTTGTTGCCCATGTTACGCTTACTACAACCATTCTGCTGGGATTGGTGTGCTATAGGAGTCAAGGCTGAAATGACTAGGTTAAAAAATAGTTGAGAGTTTTGGCAATATGTGGCTGTAAAACCAGTTGCTGCGAACGAGTGAATAACCTATCATCGAGACACCAAACCGCCCGTTGCCGCAATGCACGAGATTCGACACAAATGCGCACATCATCAAAGAAGTCCTTCCTCGTTATACGCAAATCTTCAACCTTGCTCCGTTATGTACGAAAATGGTCATTAGGCGATAGACCACCTATCCGAGATGAGCACCCTCAGGTCAGGGGGAGGTTAGGGACAGCCGTGCAAATTGCAATGCTTCTAAATTAGTGCTTCCTTATCTGGAACGATATCTGGCTTAGAAAGGTTTAAGCTCTAATTCCGTCATCAAATGACGCATATCTGGGGGCGGAAATCTCCTGGGTCGTGGGCCTGGGTCGTGGGCCTGGTTCCTCGTGGCGCCCGGTCACGGTGACGAGAGTTGTCTGATATAGCTGGGAACCACTTTTCGGATGAGAGAAATCAATGCAAGCTTAAGAGCAGACGAATCAAGGCAGCATCTAGCACACGAAGCTCCAATCTCTAAACTCCACTTCCATTTCGAGCTGTTATTTCTGACCGACTCGGGGTCCCCGGATCCCTGCAACAACGCCTCTTTGCTCCCTTACTTTTATGGTGGTCGCCGTCTTCTTTCAGTCGAGAAGTAGCGGTTGCCTTGTCCAGGGCTCAATGACGGTAATGCTTCGATCGGCCCTGATCAGCGAAGAACGTGTCATCAGACTCGCGTCTAACTCTGGCAGGGTGGTGAGGCTGTCACAACGAATCGCTGACACTGTCGGATTTGGGGCTTGTTGAAGGTGAAACGGGGTGGATTCTGGCCGCCCAGACCATACTGTGTTACTATCAGCCTCGCGCTCCTGCAATTGACCATGAAATCTTGCTCGTGGGCCTAGTCGCGACCGTGTTTCGAGCTTGTGGCTGAGCAAAGCACGAACGCGCAAGATCGGGCAAGATCTATACTCCCAAGCTGACATAACCTTTTTGCATGCCTGTTTTTGTAGTCCAGCAAATCTATCTCATCTTTATGCTACCATTATGGGCAATGACATTTACCTATTCAAATACGCTCGCTATACTCCTCCACGTTCTGCACATGATTCGATTGCTGAGCAGCAACTCCAAACCTACCAACAACACGCGTAGTTGATTATAGTCCAGCGGCAACCTCTTCGGCAGCAATTATCACAGTACCGCAGCCGAAGCTTTTCTCGGTGCCCCTTGAAGCAGGGCAGGTATCGACCAGCGGCTGCGCTTGAGCTCTATTCCATCATAGAGATTCACCTACTGGCATTTCCGCGTATGCGGCCTACACGTGGCACCGACCGGGTGTGTTCAACATATGGGCAAAGATCCCCACTGTTTCACACTGCATAAATCATGCCCTGCACGAATGACACCACCCTAGATCAGCCGTCTAGCAACCCGTGGATTGCAACATCCCTTCGCTCAGAGACCGCTAGCCAGTGAGAACAGCGTACACCTCCACCTTTTCAACAATGCGGAGCATGATCGATTCGGTGGCCAACATGCGGTTCAAATTTCCTTTTGCTCCCCTTTAGAAATGACTGGCGCTGGGAGCGAGACTACGACTCCTGACCCAGTAGCAGCACATTCACAAACCCAATTCATTCTAGCACCATCCAATCATCTTTGATGGACTTTGAATCGACTGCAACACGTTAACAAGTGCATTCACTACCCGAGACCTTACGACTTTCAACACTCAAACACAAAAGGTTAAGGCATTGGCGCCTTACAAGGAACTGGGCAAGACCAATTCCATTCCTAAATCCCTTCGCGGCAATGTCGTTTTGGCCAATGTCGCAGCCACACAAACTAATTGGCGAGGCTGGCGCATGCCCAAGAAGAAGAGTTTCAGTATGGCAAATCATTTATTGCTGGCAAACCTAAACGCTAACACTGCCGGCAAATATGGCAACCCGTTCATGTGTATCACTGCCAGCATGAGATCGAACCTCGAACCTCTAGTCCTTCGCGTCACTATGGTCTCTATCTACGCTAGTACTAAGGGTACCTTTTCGAAGACGCCCGCCTCTCGGTAAAAGCATGAGAGGCCGGAAGATAGACACCGCGCGCTCTCATCGGACATGGAAGACTCGTCTTGTTGGACATTGGGATGACAGTGTGTCATGCAGCAAAGATAAGCATGTACATACTCTTGCTGCCACACCAAGTACGTGTTCGGCAGCTTTCACTTTGACCAATTGCTGGACGCAGCGAGAGGAGCGGCTACAAAGCAAGAAGTTCGAGTGAAACCATCATACGCAAACAAACCTCCTTTTGAGCTTCCAAGGTAAGTTTTTGAACACTGGGATCGGCCCCTCACGCCATTCATGCTCCTGCTATATGGACTTGTACATATCACATACCAAGATTGAAAAGATTGTTCATGAATTCAAGCAGTAAGTTGTATTCAATCTTTTGTCTCATAGTGAAAAACAAGGCTGCTATTACTCGGACAGAGTCACATCACCTGCTCACCTACAAGTATGATACTGTGATATCGTATGGTTGGTACTAGATGGCCATGGTTGAAATACGGTGGCCGGCTCGGCTTTCAAGTGCTTAAGTATGGGAATCTCTGAGTGCCATATACGAAGGCATCCCCTGTTGTGAGATGCACACGGAGTGGGAGGAGACAAAACCCCAACAGCTATTGCCATCTACACCTGAATCAATCAGCCGCTCAGGCAGACCATTTCACATAGCGACAGACAATGTTTGTTTGTAAGCAGCTCGATTTCTCCGGTTTGTCTTTTCCGTTCTAGCATCTACCAAGATGAAAATGCATCAAGTTGCTATATGTGAATGAATTGAGCTCCAAGAGTGCGAGGCTGTGTACCTGATGTATGCAGTCAGGCGGTATAGCTGCAACCTGACAGCGAGTAGAGCTCAGAGATCTACGGAGTAGCTTCATAGAAGTTGACTTGTGTAGTCCACCAAGATCCAGGTCAACGGGTCGATGAAGGTCTGATATAAGGGACGACTCAGCTTACATGGCGTGTGATAATGGCCATAACTATATCAAGTTTTCTATTGAGATGGGCTCGAGACGGCCGACTCTGAGGCTCACACATAACCCCCTTCAACAGCCGTACAAGAATATTCCCTACGACATGATCACTGCCCTTTTAAAATCTGGTCTTGGACACTTTCACACCCTACCGACCAGTGCATTCTATAGCTCATCCCAAGCAGCAGCAGCGAAGCCACCCACCACCACCACCACCACCACCACCACCACGACGGACATATCCGGTGTACAAATGGTTCGTCTGCACAACACAAGAAGATCGCTCTTCCGCACGGTCTTGAGAAAGGCCATCTCTACAATCAACCAAGCACATTACCCGCTCCGCAAGAACAGCCTGGCCCTCCTGTATCGCTCGAGCAACCGATCGTTCCGAAACATAGGAGTACGAGCACACCTCGACGGCCAAGAACGTAAGCTAGCGCACAGAAGCGGCGTGCCGAGCAATTTTGAGGCGTCTGGAATGCGACAACCCCCGCTGCTGCCTCGGGCAGGGCTATGCTATACATATATACTAAATTAGGCAACATGCATACCCTTGGTATTCTGGGGAGTTTGGGTGAGGACCGCTTGATGTGGTCGGCTATCTTAGAATCCGTATTTAGTAACCGAGGACAGTAGGGGTTGCTCGGTGGCCACGCCGAAAAGGTCCTCTGCTACGTAGCGCTAGCTAACATTTCCATAATCATTTGGCGACTCAGAACCTCCTCAGAGGTTCCCAACCAGACCCAGATTACTTATGAACGCCTTACTTCTCAATCCAGCAGAGACTTGCAGGCCGGGCACCAGTAGTTAAAAATAAGTTAGTTAAATAGTCGTACTAAAGAATGAGCGGCAAAAGGGGGGGTTTTGGCCAAGGATTTTGCCCTCTTGGACTTTTCTCGATTGAACGTGAACTGCCTAGTTGGGAAATGCCAGATTTTGCGTTGTCATGCGTTCGATTAGTGTAATTGATTGGATTGGCTGGTTGGTTGGATGAAAAATTATGCAGTGCACTCTGTCACTCTTTCGGTAGCTATTTCATAAAAAATAATTCTACTGCTACTTAGTTGTGTGGGATTACGTAGTAGTTGATTGTTGTGATGGGAGATATGGGTGGATGTTAATAGCATAAGCTAAGGTATACATTGTATGTATGGCTGTATGTTATGATTTATTTTGCCAGGTATTACGATATATTACGGAGTACTTTGTCCGGAATACGAAACGGAACAGCGGCTATGTCCTTGCTCAGCATTCCTTGGTAAGGTGGGATGAGAAAAAATGGCAGGATGTATTTTCGGCTTCGAGTCTTCTAGATCACTGCAAGCATTTACTCGTCTGGCGCCTTTCGAGTATCATTGATTGACGAGGCGGTGCATCAGTTCGATCATGCTCCAGCATCCAGCCACTGACTCCAAAATAAACCCGAAAATCTGCTCTACCATAAGTGACTATCTCACTCCTATACCTGCCCACTCGGCACCCTATAAGGCCCATACCCCGGTCTCGGAAAGCTCGGATCCCCACAAACCTCATCATCACCCCACTCAAACCTCTGCGCCCGGATCGTCCTGGCCCTCCACCCACCCAGCGGATCACTCATCCCATGATAAACCATCCAATTCTCCCTTCCATCGGGACTGGTAGTAAAACTCGCATGACCCACTCCGTACGCCTCCTCCAACGCATTCTGATAGAAAACAGGTCCTTCAATCGTTTTGCGCCAGTCGTTGACGTTCATGGGATCCTGGCCTACGAGTTCGAGTTGGCCGAGACAATAGTTGCGGTTGTCTGAGCGGGCGGCTGAGTAGATTATGTAGGTTCGGTTTGGGTTGTGCGGGTTGGTGAGTTGTTGGGGGGCTTCGTTGGAGGAGAGACGGTTGTTGGTCGGCCGGCCGTAGGGGGTTTTCTCCCAAGGTAGCGTTGGCACGGAGAGGATGGTGCGTTGAGAGAGGGGAGTCGAGACGGTCCAGGGGTTGGAGACTAGGAAGTTGGAGGTTAGGTGGTAAAGAGAATAGAGTGGGGGCTATAGAATGGATTGTTGTGCTGAAGATAATGGGGAGCTCACGTTTTGTGATACACAAGTTAGCGGGCCAGGAGGTGTATTTGTCGTACCAGCAGCTGTAGACATGGTAGAGTCCGGTCGAGTGTTGAAAATACGTACCGTCGAGCGCGAATTGGTCGTATGTGTCGAGTTGTCCCTTCAAGCTGTAGTTTGACTCCCAGGGATCGGATCCAGAACTTTCCAGCACGAACATGCGGTGATTGACGGCTGGGCAGGTGTAATCACAAAGCATATCCGTTTCTGGTGGTGGAGATTCGTTATCGGCGTTGGCGGTGAATATGATGTACCATCTTTCATCGATCTCATGCAACTCTGGAGCCCACAGGCTGTAAGAGTATGCTTCGCCTTCTGGTGGATCGAAAACGAGCTTGGTAGAAGCATTGTTCCAATTACTGCTTTTGGTAAGAGTAGCCATGTCGCGGCAGATGAAGTGGAGAGTCTCACGTCAGACTTTGACTGCGGTAAATGGTGATATTGTCGCTCAGCGTAAACGTCATCAGATAGTGATCCCCATATCGAATGACCCACCTGCAGAAGAAGTTGGTTCTTCGCCCAAGGAAAAGCATGCGATTTCCACCTACGGGTCTGCTCCTTGCTGGTCCAGTATAGGATTGGTGTAGCTGACATTTCCAAATAACTGTCCGCTGGCAAGTCTACAGGTGCAAACGAGGAGAAGTAAGAAGTAGACAGGAGGACTCTGCATGCTTCTTGCAAAGAATGATACTTAAGGCAAAACTGCCGCAAAGCCTGTGATACTATGTGATGGTGTAAAAGTGCTTACCGATTCTTTTCACCTATTGTAGTATTCACTGGGCCTCAGATCCGGTTGACATTTCTGTGTGACCATGATTCCTCTCCACCTTGCTTGACATGACGTTGATGGGGAGACGTTGGAGAGCTTGATTTCATCCTGGAAGCGCTTTTGGGAGCCAATGATTGGTATCTCTTCCGACGTTGAGCCGGGTTCCGAATGGTGACTTTTGCCAAGGATCGCCAGCTCTTGGCATAAACGGTAAATTTTGCTGCAGCTCTGGCGAATTACGGCCAGAGTCAGGTGACATATCCAAGGACAACTTGGACACCTTTGATTGGCTTCAATGAAACCGCCAAAAAGGCCTTCACTGTTCACGGAGATGGGGGATGTCTTCCCATTCAGGATAGGGTTTCATTGCCGCAAGAACTTGCCAAAGAGGATTAGCGATTGCTGTGCAGCTTCAGCTACAACGATCACGTCGGAGGAATCAAGGGAACGGAGGAGGAAAGTCACGTAATGACATATACATTGAGTCTGCGCATGAGCTTGGGTATCTCTATCCTGACCCCTTAACGCCATCAATGCACACGAAGATAAGATACAGACGTCGCTGAACCGGACGTAAGAAATCCGAGCTTTGGGGGTTGAACCCCTGCTTAATACAATGTTCACACCCGATCCTCAGCAAAATCCAACACATCGCAGTCATCCTCGAAAAAGCCATCGTCCTCCTCTGATTGGATTCCGGCAGCAAGCATCGACTGACGAGGAGTCTTGGCCTTCCTTCTTCTCGTCGTTACAACGACCTGCTCTGCTCGGCCTTCTTCGCCACCAGTTGACTCGCCAGTCGTGGTGGAAGTTTGTCGATAAAGGACGGATGCACCGACATTGTGCTCTTCTTCATCACTGAGAGCCGCAGGTCGAATATTCAGCCTTATCGTTGGGATATCGTTACCGAACGCCCACGGCTCATGTGATTCACTCGCAGTATCTCCAGCAGATCTATCATTGTAGATGAACAAATTGACTCTGCGATCGGAGTGGAATGGCTGGTATGGTGCATTTGTCTCAATCTCAGAGAAAGAAAGTGGATGGATGATATGAGGGCATTGCGGCGGCTTTGATGGCGGCAATAGCTTCCAGTAACCGGTAACTGATTTTTCGCCGGTGTCATCATCTGATTCTGGAGCAGTCTTCGAGGTAGCACCGAGATTGGATAACTGCTCCAAGGCAGGGAGCACCAAGCTGAGCTTTGGATTGGCGTCGATGACCGATAGCGGTTGCCGTCCCGGTTTGGCAGATGATCGTCTCCTTGAAACGGGGAACGATTTGATGCATTGATCGTCGAGGACGAGTAGAGTAGACTGTCCTCGGTCTTGGCTCCAGCAAACATGCGAACGCGCCGGATTCTTCACCAGGCTGTTGAGATGAAGCCTGTTGTCTCCGGCATGTCTGAGGGAGCTCACGGTGCCCGCAGCAGCTCCGACTGACTTACTCAAGCCCGCTGCCACTACCTTGCTCCCCCGAATGCCGGTAGCCGAAGCAAGGCTGATGGTGTTATTCCCATTGCCGCCGATAATGCTCGTACCGATGCTCGGAGCTCTCCCTCGAAGGTTGGACAGTATTGGCTGTGTCTTGCTAGCCAACTTCATGGCTGATGAGAAGACGCTTCCAGCAGTGGTTGGTTCATCTGGTTGTGCGTTCACAGCTGGGCTCGCAGGTGCCGAGGAGGGTACCAATCGAACGGACCGTCGACGTGAAGGCCAATGAAACGCTGAAAGAGGCAAATCAAATATGTGGACCGTGCCATTTCTCGTAATGACGGCAAATTGGTCGCCCGTGGGACCTCTCCATTCAATATCAATAATGCTCGAAGGCGTCAACCGAGCAAATTTCGCTAACTGCGTCACCTTTGCAGACCTTGTTGACGTCTCTGAATTTGGGTTGGCAATCAAGCTGCCGGCTCTGACATGCCTACATTGTTTCAGATCCCACACATACTGTACATCCCCTTTTCGGGTCACAGAAATGAGTGCGAGGCCGTCAGGAGAGAACGAGAGAAAACTGACACCATTCGGAGGCTGGAACGTTGTAGTAGCTACAGCTGTGTCGGAGTAGTTTGCATAAGATTCACTTGCAAGCATGTGAAGATCGATGATGGAGATAAGTTGAGGTTCTACTGAAGTTGGCCGCGACTCTGGGGCATGGGTTGGGGGAAAGATCCCAGCAGGTAGATGCGAGTCGGCGTGGTAGACGTTGAGTGCAGGGCTTTGCGCATTCCCGTATTGGTCTCGGTTCCAGTAATTGTTCCAGGTTTGAAGTCCCTGGCCTCCTAACCATCGAGCACCTTTGACGACCTCTTGTGCTACCCCTCGGGCAACCCGGTTTATCAAGCTCTCGGCGTCCGGAGACTCTGAAGTGCATGAGACCGGTGGCTGTGGAGGTGCGTTACGGGAATCCAGGCCGGGTACAATCCTAGAACTCGACCTTGGTCCAGTAATGACAGGGAGAGGCTGACAGGCGCTAGGACCTGGCGGCACAACAGCAAGCCACCGGCTGCTCAACGACATGATCGGTAACTGCGTAATTTTGCCGCCACGGTTCACATCAGCAGGTGACGCGTCGGGCTCTGTCGAATTGCTGGAGTTGGAATATCGTCGATCTTGCAAACTCTGGACGCTGGTCCAGAATTTTGCCATGCAATCAAACCTGGCAGTATCCCTATCGACCCCAAAAACAAAGATCTCTCCACTCGTACCGGAGGATATAGTCACAAAGTTTCCTCGCGCATCCAACTTCAAATTACCTACAGGCGGCGGCACACTCATAGGCAAGCCTCTTATATTCGGAAGCCCAGGGTTTGGTTGGCTCCACAAGAGGGTTGCTAGGTGTTGCTGCGTTGCCAGTGAATATATCTCAACACTCGTTTGAAAATCGGTGCAATCATTTAACCTTGCAGGAGTGCCTGTTATTGTTCTGTCTTCATCCAAGGCTGAGTCCATCGTCGGTGGCGGTGCATAGTCCCGACGTCTCGGTCCATGAACGATCAGCGACACGAGCGGCCTGAGGCTATAGAATGGATCAGGACCAACCTCCCAAGTCAGAATTTTAGCATCAACGATTGTACCACCGACTCCCTGAAGTGCCCCAAGAGCGGCCAACTTATCTTTCTGTAGCGCGACGATGTCGCATCTGTCTTCAGAGGCCAATAGAACTCCCTTCAGGCGGTTGTTTCGTCGCCTATTACTTTGTGAGGGAAGATCTATAAAACTTAAAGATTGCGTTGTCCTATCGGATCTCTCTTCCCGAAGTCGAATCCCAGCGCCAAGGTCGATCTCGGGCAGACCATAGAAGTGAGCCTGCGGAAGATGTGGCGGTGGCGGAGACGAGACAACAAATGGCTGCTGTGACATATGCAAAGATCTCTCCGAGAGTGAGTGTCGTGCTTGAGGGTGATATTGTCCGGCACCTGAGCTGACGGGCCTGCTCTTGCGCGTCGGAGGGGAGGAGGGTGGTGTTTTGCTGCTAAACCCGCCCCTCTCCAGCTCATTGCCGAAAGTGGGAGGAGACACGCCCATGGTCATGCCTTCCAAGAGATCTGTTGATGGGGTCCTAGAGAATGACGTCGGCTGTACCCAAGCGCCGGCGAGGTTATAGCCATCTGAATCAGACACTTTCTCAGCCGAGTTCAGCGCATCCAGCACCGTTGACTTAGCGAAATCGCTTCGAGATGGAGAAGGCCTTGAAGCCCTGACATTGGCACTTCCTGATGTCGTTGAAATTTGATTGTCTCCCACCTCGTTTGCCACAGTTGTGTCTGCATCCTTCGCCGTGATTGTCTCTTTTTGAACGGCATTCTTCCCTCTCTTGCGGCTTTGCCTCCTACTTTCAGACTCGTCCACGGCGTTTTTATGGCCACAATGTGAGGTTTCAGCTTTTGGTGGCGATTCACGACGGTTTTGACGAGACTCAGAAGCTGGCATCCAAAAGGCCAGGGCTGTTGTTACGACGGCTCAGGTAGCGAGGTCGTTCTAACTACCCAAGGTATCACTATAGAGAAAGACTGAGTTTAGACAACAGGCAGAATGGCTCGATATGGTCACTTCCTTCTGTGATGCAAGGGAAGTGACTGTATAACAACAGATGGATATCTGTGTCCCTCGAGATCCTCAGCGTCGCCAGGTTCAGCCCTAAAACACGTTTTGTATTGATGTTGTCGGCCGCGGGGTCCAAGATGGTGGAGTCTGGAAATATGATGTGTTCTGCCCTCGTGAACCGGTCACCTTCGTACGGGTGAGGTATCTATGCGCAAGCTTTGAGGTAGCGAAGTTTGGTAAAATTGTAGTTTGTTCAGTTGTTAGACAATCCACCAAGAGTAAATGCTGTTTGACGGGGATAGCATGAGCAAGCTTATGGGAGCGGGGGCGCCTTTGTCCGGGTGGGCGGGGCACCGTTTGCATCCTTCGTCAAGGCAACCCCACGAGTTACCAGCCACCAACCCAGCTGACACACAAGCTCATGCTTCCTCAAGTCTACAGTCACTATCCTTTGCATGGGAATCAGATGCATACTCATCATATGTAATAGCACATGATATGTGCATTTTCTCGCTGAGGCATGACAGAAGCATGGCACAAGTACACAGTACCTGCATAAGCACAAGCCGTATCTTATCAGACATGCGCTGTGGCATCATACTTTTGCGTTTACAGGGGCACCGAGCAGGTGAGTATGTCTATGCTACCTGCTGAGATCTGGTGCACCTTACATCCGGCGACCATTACTCTGGAGTAGACGTTTTGGAGGGAGCGCTCTCGTCTCCTCGAGATATCACCATTGCAGTCTAGCCATTGCTAGTTCAGGTGTTCGCTCTGCCTCATAGGTGATCAAGTCACAGTGCCACCCCGCGTCTTGCGATGACTGCGAGCCAACAATTCTGTCTACACTATCTCGAGAAATGGACCAAGACAAAGTGCTGGCAGGACCTTGAATATTGGATCTTCCGAACAGCATTGCTATGTAGTTGAGTCTCGTGTCAGCGAAGGACTGGTGGGGATGGAAAAGTCTCCGCGAGCTGTTCACATGACTGAGGGGTGGAGATGGCCAGGGCAAACTCGGCACTGATGCAAAGCACTAGTAGTATTGGTCTATGATGTCTTCTTTGCGCTTGCTATGCGTGCTTTTGCTGCTTTTTTCTGGTTGCTCCTTATCATGACCATGCTTAGAAATGACCCCACAACAGCAGATCCCAATAGTGTTAGGATAACAGGTATCCTGATTGCCCAAACGCGCGGAGGAAACAGATCATGGAGAGGATGGCCAGGATCAACGAACGGCTATCGACGTTGTCAGATGCTTCGTAGAATGGATTGGTGGATTCGACTACCATCAACAAGGTCCATACGGTGTAGTAAAGAAAAACAGTAGTGGCTATGATCAACATAGCCATACCGAAGAGCTTGTCCAGCTACTTTCTCGTCAGTATCATCTCGAGTTTGCAGACAAATTATACACGTACCATAATGATGCAATGGTCGCAGACCTGAAGGTGAGGGAGAGGGGGTATCAATGAGTGTAATAGAGGAAGCTAGAGATGACACAATCCTTTCGCAAGCTGAAGAAGGTCCCTGGATATAGTACTCGGAGCGGTTGAATTCTTTGAACAGATCTCTTGGCAGCAGAGGTTTGGGTCTAACTCAAACTCTAACCTGGCTTGTGCTTTCAACCTGCGCTTTGATGATTTCTTGCCCGCTCTTAGACTTATTCTTTCGACCTCCCAACACCTGCCTAGCTATCATACAACAATTTGGATGAATTGCATGGCCACTCTGAGAGATGGCCACAGCTACATTACAATCAGCTGTAAGACTACCTACGCCACCGCCTGGGGCTTCCTACTCCGCTGGGCCATCAGCGCCTCGAAAACGCTCTCCGCCGTCACGATCGCCTTCACCACACCGCCGAAAATCTCCACCGAAGGACTTGGATCGGCATGTGCTCTTTTCCACGGAAGGTGGCACTCCTAAGCCCGCCATGTCTCAACCACAGCTTGCTGAGAGAGTCCGTGAGCGAGGGGTCCCCGAACCCAGACCAAAACCTGTGACTGAGGAGGAGAAGCAGGCGGCCGCAAAAGCGGAATACGAAAAGTTACTCACGATGCGCTCCGGTGGCACTTATATACCGCCAGCAAGATTAAGGGCCCTGCAAGCCCAAATCACCGACAAGAACAGTAAAGAATATCAGCGCATGGCTTGGGAGGCCCTCAAAAAGTCTATAAACGGACTAATCAACAAAGTCAACGTTTCGAACATCAAGCACATTGTGCCTGAATTGTTTGGCGAGAATCTGGTCCGTGGACGGGGACTATTCTGCAGGAGCATCATGAAAGCTCAAGCCGCTAGTTTGCCGTTCACTCCGATATATGCTGCCATGGCTGCGATTGTTAACACAAAGCTACCACAAGTTGGGGAGTTACTGTTGAATCGCTTGATCGTCCAGTTTCGTAAGGCTTTCAAACGGAACGACAAGGCTGTATGTCTCTCCTCGACTACTTTCATCGCTCATCTGTGCAATCAACAAGTGGCCCATGAAATGGTGGCCGCTCAGATACTTCTACTGCTGCTGCATAAGCCGACAGATGATAGCGTTGAGATCGCAGTTGGACTGACACGCGAAGTTGGGCAACATCTCGAGGAAATGAGTGCTCCTATCGCGCTGGCAGTATTTGACCAGTTCCGTAGCATTCTTCATGAAGCAGACATTGACAAACGAGTTCAATACATGATCGAGGTGCTTTTCCAGGTTCGAAAAGACCGCTACAAGGACAACCCGGCTGTCAGAGAAGAGCTTGACCTTGTGGAGGAAGAGGATCAAATCACGCATCAAATCGGGCTCGACGACGAGATTGAAGTACAAGACTCACTCAATGTCTTCAAATTTGACCCTGAGTGGGAAGAACATGAGGACGCATATAGAAAATTGAAGGCGGAGATTCTTGGAGAAGGAAGCGACGGAGATGACGACGATGAATCCGATGAGACCACAGATGACGAGGAGGCGGAGCAGGAACGTCAGATGGAGATCAAAGACCAGAGCAATACCGATCTGGTCAACCTTCGCCGCACCATTTACTTGACTATCATGTCCAGTATGGATTTCGAAGAGTGCTGCCACAAGCTCATGAAGGTCTCCCTCCCGCCCGGCCAAGAGCCAGAACTGCCCTCAATGATTGTGGAATGTTGTTCGCAGGAAAAAACGTACTCGAAATTCTTCGGGTTGGTGGGCGAACGCTTCGCCAAATTGAATAGATTATGGACTGATCTCTTTGAACAATCCTTCGCAAAGTACTACGACACTATTCATCGCTACGAAACAAACCGGCTAAGGAACATAGCTCGCTTTTTTGGTCACCTTCTTAGCACCGACGGTATTGGTTGGCATGTCTTTTCCATTGTGCACCTCAATGAAGATGAGACAACTTCAAGCAGTAGAATTTTTATCAAAATCTTGTTTCAGGATCTTGCTGAAGCCCTCGGGATGCCAAAACTACAGGAGCGGCTGAAAGACGAAATCCTTCGGCCAAGTTTTGAGGGTATCTTCCCCAGAGACAATCCAAGAAACACAAGGTTCTCCATCAACTACTTCACTAGTATTGGCATGGGGCTTCTGACAGAGGATATGCGCGAGTACCTCAAGAACCTACCTAAGCCTGCTCTCCCAACATTGCCAGCTGCAGCTCCTGCTGATGACTCCGACTCAGAATCTGTCAGCTCGTACTCGAGCTATTCGTCATACACTACCTCCCGCTCATACTCTTCCTCTCGTTCCCGATCACGAACGCGGGTTTTATCTAGGGGCAGCCGTGGTAGAGTTACTCGTGACCGGGCTGGACGACGGAGCCGTAGCCGAGGCATTTCTGAGTCTCGCTCGCCTCCTAGAATCAGGAAGGGTAGGAGACCGCGCAGCTATAGCTCTTCACGTTCCGTTTCCCCAGTACGGCGAAGGCCTCGTCCAGACTCTCTTGGGCACGATCGTGGTCGGCCTCGTGAGCGCGATTCTTCAATGGATTCTGTGAGCGGTCGAGGTGCTCGTCATGCTCCGCAAAAAGATAGATTGGGGCATAGATCAGTCACTCGCTCTCCATCGGTATCACGTTCTCCGCCTCGTTACAGAACTGGTGCAAAGCCTCATCGTTACGATTCACCAACATCACATTCTCCTCCGCGAAAACGATCGAATCAGGATATTTCACGTTCACGGACCCCTCCTCGGTTCCGGCAGGAGAATGGACGTGGAAGAACTTTGTCTAACTATTACTCTCCACCACGTCAACGCCGAGGTAGGAGCATTAATGATTCTCGTTCACCACCTAGGCTTAGGGACAGGCGGAATACGTCTTCTCTGTCATCCAGATCTAGGTCACCGCTTCCTAACAGAGTGACTGAGAGAAAGCTCCCTAGCTCCACAAGGCGAAGAAGCCCGAGAGATAACAGAGGTACCTACGAAAGGGGTAATCACAAGAATGGTGATCTAGCAAGGGGCAAGGCACCTGCCATCGATGGCAGAACGAGGGCCTCTGATTTTCTGTGATTATCATCGGTCGGGATTCAATGGTCATGGACCTTGGTGTAATCGTCATCTTATCAGTACTCTGATTGTCAATGAAGGGACCGCGTGTTCTCAATGCTACTTTGTGACACGGAAATTCCCCTCATTGAAGTTGGACTTGGCTACTGTAGTACAGCATTCATCCAGTCATAACCCAGACTGCTCGGAGAACATCTCATATATCACTCGCAAAACCTCCTTTAATCTGAACCTCCCGATCGATGCCGCTCTTGCTCGGTTAATGCGTTCTAACGAACCTATTGGTAGATGACTTGTACAATGTGTCAAAAACATTGATGATATGTTGGACTGGATCTGCAGCATGTGCGATGCCACTTTGAAGTGTCAGAGTGCAGTGGCCAACTACAATAGACCAACATCTCTAAAGCAACCAATACCAAAACTAATTACTCTAGCTGATGAACCGCTGCAATTATTTCGGCCGTGGTTAAAACAAGCTTCAGAAAATTCGTTCACACTTTGCATGGCAAATACGAGGGGTGAATGTGGCGGCAATGTGTTCTGGGAGCCGTCTGGGCTGGCTTTCTGCGGCCAGCCAAGTGAGAAGGAGAATTTTCCTAGGTTTCAGGAAGACCTACACTTCAAACCTACACTTCGATCCTACAAATATTTCCGGAATTCATACTTTGTACTCTAGACTGTGCAACAAATCTTTGTCTGGAGCCACTGGAAAGGCTGGGAACTACTCTGTTTGCCTTCAGTTGAACCCTTTTCGCAGTTATGGCAAACTCGTTCTATGCGAATCCACAAAATCTATTTGATGCCTTGGGCCCTGGATTTCCTCGGCCATCATCATTTCCTTCAGCTGCTGAGGTTCGTCGCGACGCAAGTGAATGTTCCCGGAAAATATTCGATTCCTACAGGACCCTGAACCAGATCTTGATGTGACACGAAGAGACATTGAGAAAGCGATGGATAAAGCGAACGAAAGATGCGCGCAGAAAGGTTCTGTTAGCAGTCAGGCCCAGTATGCCTGAAAGGCATCGACCTGACTTTCGAGCTCTAGAACGAGAGTTCCAAAGCAGTTGCAAAGTGGCACCAAATTTCAAGACTCATTTCTTTTCCCTTCCATAAATCTTGACGACTTGAGCCAATCACGGCCATTGTTGTTAATGCTCAATTCTAGAGGACGAAACTTGCCTTGCGCTTTTGCGCATGCAGACTTCGAGGCGATCCATTTGGGTCACGTCTCAGGGGCTATCCAGCCTGCATTTTTGAACGAATATACAATGCTTCTGCATGGCCAGACCACTCCGGAAACCTATGGCAAATTGCTTTCCTGGGATGAGCACGAGCTTGCCTTCGAATGGATGATGTCGGGCTTACAATTCCATCCCGGTATGGGTCTCCTCGTACTGCAAATTCAGCAAGGAGTTCTCGAGTTTCTCGTTCTGTGCTGTCGTAAGATACTGCAAGATCTGTCGTTCGACTCCCTTGCCGACAGCAGCATCCCAGTGCAGCCCGAGCCTGCTACTCTGTTACCGAACGAAACTGCCTACACCTCTTTGGCTGCGCTGGCGGCGGATGCGCCCTACCGTGTTCCGGCTCATTTAGATTTTCGACATATTCGTTCCTTGGCGGCTGCCCGCGCTTCAGCTGCCAATGACCACATCTACGCATTGCGAGAAGATCCCGGCTACTTCAGCAGTGTTATTGGGGATTACAGCGAACACCGACAAGAAACTCTGCTTGACACTAATAGAAGGCGTCATGATGTTCTCAAAGAATACCTTTTCTGGGATCGCGTAGTAGGAAATGCGATTGGCGATGCCTATACGGCTCACTTTATCTTCGACACTATCCACAAGAAGGTTGTCGAGCTTGAGAATTTGGAGCAGAGGTATTCAGAGAGTATTTCTCCACAAAGGAGGTTGCCCAAACAATATCAGCAAGCTCTGCTGAACTTCAACCACTTTCTGGACGAGACGCCCAAGGGACTAATCTACTGCCTCAAAGTGGGAGTCCCACCCTCGCCACCGCTCCGATCTCTCTTCGTCCGGGAGCCACAAGAACCTAATACAACCAAAATTGTGGTCCGAAGTCGGCAGATTGCGTCTCGCAAAGATGAGCTACTTCGACTGTTTCAAATCCTGTGGGATGATCAGCAATTATTCCTTTACGCATTACCAAACCTGATGGACGAGCTGGAGCGCCTAGTGGAGAGTGATCGTCAGCAGAAGCAAAGGCTTTCTGGTTGGGTGAAAAGTATTGTATCAGATCTGGCACTTCTCGCACAGATGAAGAATCAGCTTAACCTCTACCAGCCGTGGGCATCAACCTTTGAAAATGATGCAGTGGAGCATGGAGAGGCCATCAAAGCTGACTACACCAAGTCCATGTCTCCAGTGACCGAATATGTCAAAGCATCTAGGAGCTTGCCGTCTGTCGGTAGACTTGTCACGCCGCTTCGCGACAAGTTCAACTATCCGATCGATAAGCCAAGAACGAGGCAGAGTTCTGATACCATGCGGGCTGCAGAAAAGAATCTGGACCTATTCTGGAAAGTCATTGATCAGCACTTCAATGCAAACTGTCGTAGCGACGTGGTCAAACAGCTTTTTTCGGGACAGCTTCAGCTACAAAGAACTCCTGAATAGGTCGAGCCTGTAAACAGCGAGAAGCCTACCAAGGAGGAAGCTGAGGAGGACTTATCCGACCACTTCTCTCGCTTATCGTCAGGTCAAGGACAGTCAAGTTTTGAAACACCATTGCCCAAAAACAAGGTCAAGACTCACGGCCCGGTACAAAAAGGAGGCTCTCATGGTGCTGAACCGCCCGAACACGTTCCGCGAACGCTGATTCCAGACCAGCAGCAGCAGGTTGTCGTTGGCCGACGTGCGTTCAAAGTCTTCTCAACTCTCTTCCATGTTCCGAATCTGACAGACACCCCCGGAGACGTAGCTTGGCCCGATTTCTTGCATGCAATGGCATCGACCGGCTTTCAAGTCGTGAAGCTGTATGGTTCTGTCTGGCAATTTACGCCTACGAAACTAGATGTGGAGAACAGCATTCACTTTCATGAGCCCCATCCAATTGGCAAAACACCTTTTCGAATGGCGAGACGTCATGGACGCCGGCTTCATCGAACGTACGGTTGGACAGCGAATACATTCTCATTAGCGTGAAGCATACATAGCAGGGTGCATAGGTTTGAGTATGAGTCCTGACAATGATCTCGGCGTGCCCAAAGGTGTGAAACGTGGTTGGGTTAGTCACAAGTCCCCTGACCAAAGATGACTTCAACACTCAGTGATTCATCTCGGGTTGTTCTCTTCTCCTAGATAGGGCAGGAGCAAAAGAAGAATTCTGATTGAAGGACTGGATTCTGACGGCGGCTCAATGTCAGGATAGCAAGCAAATACAAACAAGTCATAGACAGTGTCGCTAGTTTCCCAGGTTGAATAGACTTTCTTATCTCTGAAGAGACATGATTGTTGGAATAGGTGATTTATATATAGCATGAGTATTCCTTGAGCCAAATACTCTTCATTTGAAGATTCATAGGTCATGCAGTGTTTACACGTCGCATCATACGCAACACTAGGCCTCAAAAGCCCGGGCCAGTTGTCAGAATCTCAATGCACAGCCACAGGAGAATTGATGACTTCAAGCATGACAGGCATCAACTGACCAGGCTTCGGCTTACACTGTACATCTTTGTACTCTTCGGCAGAGCGATGGGGGAAAGCTGTTATTGTCGTACTCTTTTCTCCCCATGGAACAAAAGCCATGTCACCAAAAGTATGGAAAATTTACAAATAGGCTGAAATAAAAAACAGTACGGTGTACGACTCCCAGTTACTAACTTACTAACTAACTAGTGGCCTCCTGATGATTTGAATCACAACTTCGCTTGCTGTGACTGGTAGGGGCTTAGGCCCCCACGACAAAGAAGAGGAGACAGAAGAACAAGTGGAGCTCCAAGCAAAGTTACTCAGGTGTTCTGCCAGCTGGCATGGCGGGCCCCACCATATTTTCTCCAACTGCTCGTCGCAGCTCCAGATATTGAGTCTCACCTCTGCCTTGCCTTAGCTCGAGGCTGAGCCATAATAATTCCTCTCATTTCCATTCTGTGCTGTGCTGTGCTGTGCTGGGCTCTTTGTACCACATGAGAGTCCCTCTTTCCTGCTCTCCTCCTATCACCAAGGCAGCAGTTTTCTGCCAGCCACCAGACGGAAGCCCAGCCAGGCCAACCTCGAGCGGCACAGTAGGCAAGAGCCTACAACAACGTCGTCGGGATGAGTTGTAAGTCGAGCTATTAGACACTCATTGACGCACATTCCTTTCTCGAGTCTTGTATCAGTTCTATCATTTATCCCCCAAAAACAGGCACTCTGACTACAGTGCTTGATAGAGGCTGCTGCGATCATTACCTCTTCCCGAAGCACTACTATTATTAGCCATTGGAGAGACATAACCATGCCTTATACCCGTCCAAAGCCTCTGTCAAGCAGTGGTGACAGTGCGATGAGCGGGGAAAGTCATTCGCAAAACGACACTAACCTCCCCTTCTCAGTCTCGAATATGCTTAACAAGCTGCACGGCCAGCCGGAGAGTTACGACAAGAAGTCCGTTCCCCTGCTCCTCTCTCCGCTCCCTTCTTTTCATGCGTCGACCACCCCTGGATTGACTCCTCCACCAACTCCTCCAGTTCCACTCACCAAAGCCAGGGCACAATATCGATTCGGGAAGACCCTGGGAGCAGGTACTTATGGCATTGTCCGAGAGGCAGACGTCAATGGGAAAAAAGTTGCTGTCAAGATCATATTGAAAAAGAACGTGAAAGGCAATGAGCAAATGGTCTATGATGAACTTTCCATGCTCCAGAAGCTACATCATCCGCATATTGTAGAATTTGTTGATTGGTTCGAATCCAAAGTATGTGGACAAGAAGATGCCCGATTTGACTGCACGGGACTGATCCTCGCAGGACAAGTACTACATTGTCACCCAGCTTGCTGTTGGTGGCGAGCTGTTTGACCGGATATGTGACCAAGGCCGTTTCACAGAGAGGGACGCATCACAAACGATCAAGCAAGTCCTCGGAGCTGTAGATTATCTCCACGAGAGAAACGTCGTTCATCGAGGTATCATCGTCATGGTAGCGGTGTACTGGAATGCTCAGCTGACGCCTCCTTTCAGATCTCAAACCGGAAAATCTACTCTATCTCACCAAAGACCCAGACTCTCAGCTCGTACTTGCGGATTTTGGCATTGCTAAAATGCTAGAGACACCTGGAGAGGTGCTGACCACGATGGCCGGTTCATTTGGCTACGCTGCACCAGAGGTTATGATGAAGCAGGGGCACGGCAAGGCAGTTGACATGTGGTCTCTTGGCGTCATTACCTACACACTACTATGCGGTTATTCGCCGTTCCGATCGGAAAATCTTGGAGACCTCGTAGATGAGTGCCGTAGCGGGAAGATCATCTTTCATGAGCGATACTGGAAAGATGTCAGCAGGGACGCGAAAGCGTTTATTCTGACCCTCCTTCAGGTGGATCCGAGGAGAAGAGCGACGAGCAAAGAAGCCTTGAAGCATACCTGGCTCAAGGGTGAAACAGCGACCAACCACGATCTCCTGCCCGAAATTCGATCATACATTGCCAAGGCGCGTCTAAAGCGTGGGATTGAACTTGTCAGATTGGCCAACCGGATTGAAGCTTTGAAGATGCAAGAAGATGAAGAAGAGGATATGCCAGGAAGCGCTGACGTCCCAGCCAACGCTGAACAAGCTGCTGGGCTCAGCGTCGCCAATCAACAGCGGGGTATCTCGCCCAGCCGTGGACTGGCGACAAGTGAGAACCCCGAGAAGCGGAGCCTGAGCAAGATTGCAAAGGGTGCGATATTCCGAGAAATTGTGCTAGCCAAAGTGCGAGAAATCAAGGAGAAAGAGAACCAAGAAAAGTTGGCCGCAGCGGCCACGCAGAAATATGGACAGAAACAAACCCAAGGTGGCAAACGTTGATCAATGATTTGAATAAGGGCATGGGTGCTCAGTGGGCGGTGGGCGAGGGTGCTTAAGGGCGACTGCTTGGAATGGATACCGTTTGCCAGTTAGAAGGAGTGGTATCAGAATTGTGGTATTGTCTCGGGTCTCATGTCATTCAGATGGTATTGCGGTCTACAGCAAGCAGGCATTGAAATATGAATCAAAGGTATATTGTAGCTACTACGTAGTGCTCCAGCTCCAGCTCCATCCCATCGCCATCACCATCACCATCACCATCACGGGTCACATGCCCCTCGTGCCTACTTATGGCTGCCTTCTTGGCTCTTTGTGGGCTGCAGGCTGGTGTGCGGGGAGGCTTGTTACTTATTTCTTGATCTTATATCCATTCACTCTGCCTGCCCTTTCATCTGGATTGCTTCACACCTTTCGGCTACAAGAGATACAACAGTCATATCGAACCAGCCAGCTCTCGACATTATTGACCTTGAATCAAATTGATGAACTCCATAGTTGAAGTGCAACGGCGAAACAAATCACCACCTTCGTCGGCACCTAAAGCCTATCCTGGGTTGTCTTGTCTTCACGGAGGCAACAGTTCGCGCAACAACCTCACACCTTGCTTGAAGCTTATCCTAGTCATCATGTTCTCAGCCAAGCGGTTAGGCAAGGTAAGGTTCCCTGTCTCAGCAGAAACACACCTGATCGCTAAGTCATTGTCAAAGGAACTGCAGAAGGTAAGGCTCGTCCTCCAGGGCGGAGCTCAAAAAGCCTCCTCATGTCCGAACCATATCTCTCTCACCGGACCCTACTTACCATCCTTATCCCCGATACAGGCCAAACAACATCTCCCTCCCGGCGTCGAGCTCGTCAAAGCAGACGACTTTTCAGAATGGCAGATGGATATCCGAGTCCTGGATGACAATCCACTGTACAAGGACGAGATATATCGATTAAGATTCAGATTCGGGAACAACTATCCTATCCGTACGTCTACTCTACGCATCGAGCTCATCACGGAGCCAACAATGTGAGCGGCAAAACTGCCAGCAACGGGGCTAACAAGAACTCCAAAACAGAAGCACCCGAAGTCACGTTCCTCCACATCCCGCCCTCCTCCTACTCCTCCTCCTCCTTCACCCCCCACTCATCCCAACAACCACACAACCAATACCCACCGCCCACCAACAACAACGACAGCACCGTATCCACCCCCACTCCCGCTCTCGCACCCCCAGATCGGAAGAGCGTCGTGTAGGG